CAACAGAATACGATGGCGCCATGATAAGTTCATCGGGAGGAGGATACGAAGAGTACGGGAAGAGAGGGGGCGTGTGGGATCTCTCGCGAACGTCGTCAAATGGGGGAAACAGTAGTTCGTCCTCGTGGTTCATCGGCGGCGTAAATTGTCCCTGGCTGAGCTGCCTTTCCGGCGCATTCTTGTGTGCTTTCGTTGAAGCAGATTGGGAGCGCTTGGAGGCGGTGCCTTTAGGTTGTGTTGTCTTCTCGGAGCTTGAGTTGCCGTCCTCCCCAGCACGCCTTTCAAGATCTTCCAGGCGCCTCTTGAGCTTCTTGCCTGCAAGGTTGGATGATTAGTCACGATACGAGTCCCACGCGAGACGACTGAAACGAGACTCGACAGCGAGTGAGACATACGATAGTTGCGTTGCGCGATGCGATTCTGTATCCGTCGACGCTCAGCAAGGTCAGATATCTTCGTCCAGTCCTCGTCAGGGTTGGCGGAACTGCTAAAAGCACTGCTGGTGCCGTGGCCAGAATATTGCCTTGGCTGCGGAGGGGAGGCCGCGTAGGCATATTGCGATTGCGACATGGCATACATCGGTTCGAGAGCTGTAAGGTATGTATGGATATGAGTTAAGAGGACGAGGCAACTCGACGATCGCACGTGGTGCGCAAGGCTAGCGAAGAGGGCCGAGAATGGGACTGAGTCAGGCTGTGGACAGGTAAGGTGAGGAAGCTGATGATGGGCGGGGGGAGGGGGCCGGAAGTGTTAAATAATGGCTGAGGACAAAACGCGTACCACAAACGTATGAGGCCCAAGGGCGACAAGAAGCACCAGGAGCAGCAATGAGCCATCGCTGAGCGCCGAGAAAGGCAAGTTGGCCTGCTTGGGAGCCTGGTATTGCACATGGGCAGAGTACCTGGGCCCGTCATGCCATGCCTCGCGGAGGGGCGTGAAGGATCGGAGGTGGGGAGGGGTGTGTGTTTGTGATACCGTCGCGTACCTCGTCTCGACTCCTCCGCTCTGCCCTACGAAGAGATGGGTAGCATATTGACGGGCCAGGAGGGGTCTCGCGGGTGTGACAAGGGGGTGTGGGAAAGAGAGGCAACTGGATACCACAGGATCGAAAAGGCCTAGGCATTGACGCCAGCACACCCCATGTTGGGTCAGTTCTGCAGCCCTTCCTTCCCCAGTCATCGGGGACAGAGTGCCAAATTTACGGAGTGGTCGGCACCGCAGCAACGTCCCAACAGCATGCCTCCCCCACCCACCCTCTCTTGCGGCGATGGAAGTAGACACCCCAGGAGGCAGAAGGAGGGCAGGAATGACGGTATGCACAACGATGGGCTGTCGCGGCGAAAGCATGCTGGCAGGTGCAAGCCAAAAGCAGCAGCACTCAAGTGTCAAGTCTCGGTCGCTAATCTTGGCTCGAGCCAAAGCTCATGCTCACTTCACTACCGGCCAGCATAACCCTCTGATGGTCAGAGTACGAGTAAAGCGGCGACGAGTGGCTCGAAGGACAGTAGGGACATAAACCTTGTCGATCTTGAGGTCGCGCAAAAATGGGGGCATGGCTGTGCTGATGCTTTCTTCGTTGAGACAGCGATCCCTCGTAGGGCTGGCCAGTCACAACGCAGCATTCGCGAGTAGGCTTCAAAGACCCTGGCAAGCCTGGGATATGGCTGCCTGGCATTCAAGAGAAATGGGGGGGAGGGGTAAAGAGGAGACTTTGCCTTGGGTTAATTATGCGCTTAGTTTGATAGAACTATAATTTAACCCAGGCCTTGTCTAGGCCGCCCGCAAGATGATATCGGGGCTGCGCCTGCCTACTCATCGTCCGATACGCGGATTCCGATGGCAGACTAGGCTGTAACAGGCAACCCTTCCCAAAGAGGCTACTTCGACACCGAGGAGGAGGCCCAAGTACACGCCAGAATCCGTCCCCACCTGTCTCTGGACATCCTGAGCCCATGTCACACTTCCCCAGTGAAAGGGGACTCTGCAACTCACAGCAGTGGCGGTCATGGGTGCTTGGGTTCAACCTGAATTGGTGGAGATAGTGGACTTGCTAATTCCGAAGAACACACTACGATACACAATGCTTCCGCACGTGGACGCGATACCCTTCGCCTTTTCTCCGTGCAATTCTATGGTTCTCCAGGCGAGTGACGAGATACCCAGGCGTCTTGCGCGTGTTCACGTTTCGTGGCGGGAATCTCGTAACTCGAGCCAATACCCAGAGGGCAGCCAGACTGAATGATGCCATCACCAATGAGCACGGCCGTCAGTCCGAGTTCATCTGCTGTACATGTACTCGGTCGTGCCCTACCCACCCTTCCGGTTTTCGAGGTCTCCAGCCGACCGGCCCTTTTCTCGGCTTTTCCCAGAAGTACACCACAGTACGGTGGACTATAGCCTGGGAGCCTTGGATGAATGGTGGACAGGAATGCCTAGCAGGGTCCCAGTAGGCCAGCTTGCGGAGAGGAGTAGGTCGGTCTGTGCGGTGGGCTGCCGTACGAAAACTGTCAGGCCCAAGTGCGAGGCCACCAATGGTGCTGCCTGTTGCGGCTGCCGGCGGGGTGATGAACCATAGTGGCTCAGTCAAGGGTACTGGGGGAGCTTAGAACCAGACACCCTCAGGCAACACGGAACATGGTCATCAGTCAGGCAGTACGCAAGCTGCCCATGCAAGCCGTGACGAGCAGGTTGAGCTGTGATCAGGTTGTTGGATCTGCAGTGTCGACTAGCATAGAAAGAGGCAGGCCAGATCCGGCGTGCAAAAATCACCGGCTTGATTGCGGGCGCGGGCGCGGGCGGGGCGGATGCAAGAGTGATGGGCCATACCCTAGGACTCTCCCTGTCTAGCAATCCAGGAAGCAACATAAAGGGGGGGGCGGGAGTGCTCCAAACAAACGCGGCCACCGGCTTCGCGGCCAAGCGCAGAAGTGGCGAAACCTTCTTGATCCC